GACTTAGACTGACTGACTGGCTACATAATATAATAAAATAACTATCAAAGTTTACTATAACTAATATACAACAAGTAAATATATCTAAATATATAAATAACTAGTGGTTTATCAGTAACATTGATATGCTATCAGTGAAATTGATGAATGTACCAACATTGAATGTACATAGAAAAACTGTTACATGGCTGTACATCAATGGATAGACATAAACAATTTACTTTTCAAATAGCGATGGAAAATGTGAATAAATTAATATATTTGGAATAATTTTGAGGGTAGAGCCTAGCTTTGGTAAAATTACTACAGCTCGAACATGGTCTGGCTCGACCGGGGAAGTACCACCCTCTCACAGAAGATCGGCGTGAAGTAGCCTTTATTGGCTGCGTTTCGTCCGAAGAGTAAGAGAGATGGTTGCGTTTTCCCTTTTCCCTCCCTTTCCCACCTTTTTTTTATTCCCTATCCTCCCTGTTCCTCAATAACCTAGATTAGATAAACATATTGCAAATGTCTACGGGTGACGGTGATTACTGCTCATTAATTAGACCGTCTGCTCGTTTGGTATTTTCTCATAAAAAAAAATTTATAATTCGTAGAAAATATCATGGAATTGATTTAATGCGAAAACGTTCATAACTTCATATTAATCGACATTACAAGCTAAAGATATAAATGTGGGTTTTTTATTGAAAATTTAAATTAGAACAGGTAAAGCTATCAACTATAGTTTAGTTACCAAAGTGACTGAAACGATATATTCCAGAAGTAGCAGAATCATATTCTGCTAATTAAAAATTTAATTTTATCATCATCATCAAGCTATCAGAACCCACTGCTGAGCAAAAGCCTCTTTCTCAAATGGAGAAGGTTTGAGCATTAATCACTACGCTTGCTCAAGAAGGGTTGGTGATTTCAAACTTATAATTGTGAAATTATAAGTCCCAGGATTCCTTACGATATTTTTCCTTCACCTGTAAGTGGTGTCTAAATACTAATAGAAAGTACATATGACTCGGAAAAATCACATTGGTACTTGCCAGGTTTCGAATTCGCGCCCTCACGACCAAGAGGCGGGATTTTAACCACTAGGCTAACACGACTGTACTATAATTTATACACGATCAATATAGTTAAATGTTCAATATTACACGAATATATCATCAAAAACATTGAAGTACCAAAACTTGTAATATAATTTTACTAAAAGCGAATCTCGCAACCAAATCTCGCCCGAGGATACCACGTTGTAAGCTTATAATCAACATACTTCCCTTTAATACATATAAAATTAAGTTTATGTATCAAACATAGTAAGACTCATGATTCGTTATAGTCATCGTAATATAACGACTTGAGCCGCGCCTCGTAATAAACAACCACATCCATTAGAAATGTAGCTACACGAACATGTATGGAAGAATTATGTTTACAACGCTCTTATTGATAGTGCAACACTTATATATTACAGTTAATTTATTTACTATACAGGGTGACTGGTGAATTACTATCGATACTTGAGGACGTGATATTTGACGATCATATATGACAGAATAAAAATTAATATAAAATAAATTTTAATAAACTTCTATGTAAGTTAACCAAAAGTTATGTAATTAATTACGCATCGTGTGAACACCCTACAGATTAGGTATACATACACACACACACACACGCACACACGCGTGCGGCGGCGTGGTGTTGTATCAGCACGCCGCCGCACGCGTCCACACTTGGAACACTTGGAACGTGTCCACATTTTATTTATTTATACGGAAATTTGGTCAAAAATTAAGTACCTATTTTTTTTACATAATTCGAATGAGAATCATGTACCGAGTATTCTCCTTAAATATTGATAGTGATTCACCAGTCACCCTGTATATATCATTATTAATACATATTTATTTAATATTTTGACAAATTAATTCGTTAGGCAGCAAAAAGACTTAACTTCAAATATTTTTAAAATAAAATGAACTATATATATATTAAATGTCAAATTGTATATAACAATATTCAACTTTGACTTTTTAACGTTTTATAGATATTAATAAAAAATATATTATCGTCTTATTACCTTTCCTGTTTATAAATAGACCAAGCAATTTCTTTCTTTAATCAGGCCATAAAAAATACAGCACCTTTAAATATTGAAATTATTTTTCTTATATCTCATAATATTCTAATAAAATTAAAGGTTATTTATTTTTGTAACTACGAAATTTTTTAGTGAAATCCAAAAAAATCTAAAACGTTGCCAAATATAATAATTAAAATAATCACAATAATATTATTTTTAATGCAAAAGAATAAAGCGTTCATCCTATTATAAATCTTCTTCTTCTTCTACCTGGCAATTTCCCAGCTATAGCCAGGGTCTGCCTTACATGTTGTGAATAGTTTTTGGCTATTTGTTTTTACGACCGGCCGCCTGCCTGACATCAACCCACTTTTGGGAATCAACATTAATCAGTGATGTCTAAATAGTCTTAGAAAGTACATATGATTCGGAAAAATCACATTGGTACTTGCCCGGGCCAGGATCGAACCCGCGCCCTCGGCAACGAGAGGCGGGCCCTTTAACCACTGAGCCACCACTGACTATTATAAATATGTTTGAATATTTAAATTTGAATAGCGTATTAAATATAGAACCAATTTCTCTGGAAGCGATGCAAGCGAGCAACAAAATAATGAGGAAACGACGTGTTCAAATTATTACAGATGAATAATATCAAATTATATAATTGTAGGATTAATTAATATTTAAAAAATATATATATATAAAATGTAAAAAAAATGTTTTTAATTCATTGCAATTTAATTTAATAATAGAACAACTTAATTAAACGCAACGGTAATAAAATATTAAGACAAAGGTTTTATATCTTATATATAAAATTCTCGTGTTGCGGTGTTAAACAGAAAATTCCTTCAGAACAGCTGGACCGATTTTGATGAAATTTTGTGAGTATATTGAGTAGGTCTGAGAATCGACCAACATCTATTTTAATACCCCTAAGTCATAAAAATTGTTCAATCTCTATTTTTAGGCGAAATTTTTTGTCTTTACTTTTTTAGAAAATATAGCATGACAAAATACATTCAACCCAAAATTTTTACTTTTTTATCTGGCAAAACAACGTTTGCCGGGTCAGGTAGTTACTAATATAAAACTATTTCTTGTGATAAAAACACAGCAATTATTTGAAAACAATATAAAAATACATGAGAAGAATTCACTTTAATATAAACTACTAGCTTTCCGCCCGCAGCTTCGCCGCGTGGAGTTCGGTTATATCGCGTTTCCAAGAGAACCTTTCAAAAGTCTGGGATAAAAACTATCCTATGTTCTTTCTCAAGGTCAACTCTATCTCTGTACCGAATTTCATTAAAATCAGTTCAGTGGTTTAGGCGTGAAAGCGTAGCAGACAGACAGACAGACAGACAGAGTTACTTTCGCATTTATAATATTAGTAGGGATTGTATAGCTAATTAAGGTTTCAGTCTCATCCGCTTGTAGAAGGAAATAATATTTTTTAATATCTTCAAAGTACTGTTCCGAGCTGTTTCATATTAATCTCCGTGTTCAAACTTACCTTTTGTATAACTTATAATTATTTCTGAATAAGTTATATATTCGAATAACTATTGTTACATTATTAATTACTTAATTAATTATAATAATTACGTATTTAATTTTAATAATTACGTAATGAATATTACTATAAGTAATGTATGTTTGTTTGTTTGCAGCAAAAAAAATGTAATTATTAATTATTATTCCGTATTACGTGAAATAATATGAAAAATAACGTCTTCAATTACGTATAACACTTATTTGGACAGATTTTACCCAGGTTTTAAAAGCGATTTTGAATCGAACTTTGTTATATCCTAATTAGGAGTTTGTTTCATTAAATAAACAAACGTTTCGACGTTTTTCATACAGACAACGATTATATAAAAAATAGTCAATAAATTAAAAAGATATTGACGGTGTTCAGAACGCTTATTATTTTGCATCGTCATACATTATACTCGGCGTTAACAGTTTTCATTCATTAATCTTCTCATATTAACGTAAAGTATATAGTATTTATTTAATAAACGAGACACGGTACGTAGGTAGTGACGTGCAAACTTGGACTAGGCTACTTCAAGATATCTTAAGGATGCTTCAGCCAATGAGTTCCCAGAACAATTTACCTGTACACTCAAGTATCGCAACAAATGAAATTGTAGTTTGGTAAACGATTTCAAATAAAACTATCTAGTTTTGATCAGGTTGCACAGAAAATTGTACTATGAAGTAAATAAAATAAAATATCTCAACTAAAAGGACATATACAAAATTCAAAATTAAGTGGATCTATAAATTGGGAGAAATTATATGCTCTCTATCATTAATTCCCAATAGCAACAGTTTTAAGCCGAAACAAACTATATTATATAACTCTTATAAATTAAATAGTCAATACGTTGGTTTATTTGACCGACAGTATACGTAAATTTATTACACTATATATTATGGCGGGAAAACAGAACAAAATGGCTGCCTATATTGGCTTGGCATCAGCACTTTACGGTCCTTAGAAATAACGAAGTCATACGGTTATAAAAAGCATTCGTAACGCGTAAAGAAAATGACGCAGGAAATTAATGATTATTCTTTCACTTAAAATTTTAATATCAATCTTAACGGAGACTTTTAAAAACGAATTTATTTAAATTATTTTTAACAAATACGAAATGTCTCTAATTTTTTATTTATATAACTTTGTCCAAACATATATGATTTGTTTTTCATTCAGCCAGTTAAGATATTTAAATAATATCAAGATTTAAATAATATCAAGATTTAAATTAAACCTTTTTTCGTATACAGTAAAGGAGAAAAAAAAGTCGTCTCGTCCTTACGAGATCATGGTTACAGCAAACTAATTGTACCGACGGGTAAAAGTTAATCTTTAACGTAAATCTTCATATTTTTTACTTACCTTAGGTAGTTTAGCATAGACCCCTGTTCTAACATCCCTGATGGTAGCTATGTCGAGCATTTCCACCTCCATATTCTGATCTGTCCAGTATAAAAAGAACCCCTTGGGATCCACTCGTAGTGTAACTGGGAGGCCGGTCCCCGAATCCTATGAAATGGTAAACAAGACTTTCATTACTATGATAACTTAATCAATTTTAATTAATTTAAAACAGGTTTAATACTGTTTTGACAAGGAAACAATTTTCCAACAAAGTTTTTATTACACATAATAATTTCAACATTGTTTTACGGGCAGTATTAAAAACATAAGTAACAAATATAAAAAATATTATTGTATATATGACTATTTAATATATTTACATAAAAGCCTACTACTTATTACATTTTAGTTTATTATAACAAATTTTATAGTTATTATAACTGAAGGTATGGTTACTTAAGATTTTTTTTTTTTTCATAGAGTATTTGCAACATTTCATTCATAATTTTGTCATATATAACAAATTCAAAATAAAAGATTCAATTATTTTTATAACATATTTTATTTTAAATAATTACATATGTTATAAATTTTAACTATAACTTTAACAGCTACTTTTGGTTCTATGAATTGTTTTAGGAATATCCAAGAAAAAAAAATCTAATTTTAACTGCATGTTATATATTTAACTGAAAAATAATTATATGCTAAACTTTAGACAACTATAATATTCTTTTATAATTTACCAGTATCCATAATATTTAATAAGTAACACATAACTATATGAATAACTTAGTTTTCTTGTTTTTTTTAAAATACGAAACTTTATGACTGACTCGATAATATATTTTCAAATATAACTTATTTAACTATAATACGTTAGGTGTTAAACTGAAAATAAATACGATACTAATAAGAATCGTCATATACTAGCCTCATCCCACTTAATGAACTTCTCTCCATCTTGCAAAGGTTTAGGCACTTGAATCTGTTTTAAAGATACTTTAGAAGATTTTGTTGTAGTCATCTTGAAAAACTATCACTATTATGCGGAAACCAAAACAATATAGCTGATCAAAACCGTCATCTTCCTCTCAGAACCGATCTGAGATAACTACCAACGGTTCACTCGGCAAAGGCACAACGTATACTGAGACGACACGGAAAATACTTATCCATAAATTATTAACTTAAATCAGCATTCATCATATAGTTATTCTTAATCTTTATTATTGCCAAAAAAACGAATATACCATCATACTCGCTACACGACGAAACTGAACCACCGAAAATCTAGAAATGTCAAAATTTTATGCTAGTATTTCCAGCTGCAATTGGATACTTGCGACATAAATTATGAAGTTTTTTTATATAAAATATTTTATTGAATAATATAAATAGTTATAAAATACGTGACGATAAGAAAAACAATAATATATGACAAAATATGTATATAATATTTTGAAAGATGATCAAATTAGAGATGACTAACAATATTTTTCCTGTTATACTTCAGTTATTTAATAAATTTTTATTATTTCCAAATTTTGATATAAATTTGACGATTGATTGCTTAATTTTATTGTTTTAACTTAATTTTCTTATTTTAGTCCTAAAGAAATCGGATCTATGTACATGCATACAAGTAGATTTGACAATGACATGTCAAGTCTACTGTGGATTGTAGCTTGTACAGTTGACATACTGAGTAGATACTAGATATACTCAGCGCTATCAACTGCTTATGTATGCGTTATGTCAAACAGAATAATTTGTAATCACCATAGTAAATTGTTATTTTTTTAACACATGCTTCGAGTGCTATTTTCCCGTACAATAGATAAGTAAAATTAAATAGTCTAGCTTCAAATTATAAAAGAGTGATGACTAGTGAAATGCGCTAATTTTGGGAAAACCTCACTGGTTTATATCAACTACTTCTGTCGGCCGTACCGTGAAGTATATTATAAAATAAAATAAAATGGCAAATTCTGTAAACATATCAATAGAAGCACCCATAGAAAATCAAATACAAGAAATTACTTACGATGGCCAAGAAATTTATCAAGCGTAAGTATGATAATGTAACATTTGTTTTCGTATTTCATATTCTTTTGAACATCAAACATTCAATAATATTATATTTTTGTGTAGTCCTCTTTCTATGTCTGAAAACCTGGCAAGATTAGCACAGAAAATAGATTTTTCTAAAACTGATGACGAATTCTGCAACATAAAGAAAGAAGGTGAGAATGGTTCTGAAGTTAAGTCGGAGGAAGACAAAGAACCTGGCTATCAGTCCAGTCTATGGCCTTGGGATTCTGTTAGAAATAAATTGAGGAACGCTCTCACTGAAGTTTCTGTGCTCGCTGATGTGTTGAGCATTGCTAAGGAAAAGAGATATATGGTAAGTATCAGCTTTCAACTATATATTACACAAATTTAACACTTGTTTAAAATTTAAAACTAACAAAATGTTCAATTCTCATTAGAGAATATATTATGGATGATCTAATGTAAAGCACAGTTTTGTCTGTGAAACCAAATTTACACTCTATTTAAGACATAAAATAAAATTTCCTCATAATATTTAATTACAGGTAAATGTTTGTAACTGACATAAAAATCGAAATATTTGTAAAAATATACCAAATCATGACCTTAAAAACACTTTGATATAAAAAAATAAGTCAGTAGAATAAGTACCATTAAGATTATTGTGTATTAAAACATACTTACATACAACTTTAATGTCAGCTTATCAAAAACACTGCAAGTTCAAAACCCTCTCGGCGTTTGCTGAACTTTAGGAATTTTTTAGGTATATTTAAACAATTTTATGTAAATTGATTATCAAATTATTGCAGTATAGGCAAAATGTCATAAGAATAATTCATTGCTGCACTATTATATTGTAATAATATCATATAAAAGGGTTTTATTCTCACATTTTTAGAAAATATATCCTAATATTACAGGTACTAGATCCAATTCAGGCCGACCCAATTGAAAGCCGTCCGATGGTTCAAGTGTATGGTCGTAAGAAAGCGTTATCCGCTGCCGGGGCTGTGCTGCTCAATGGTGTGGAGAGACTGAGAGCCAGTGAGACTATGAGGATGACTCGCAACATGCCAGACTTCCACATAGACTTACTGAGACTCAGACAGAACTGGAGACTCAAGAAGGTGTCCAACACTATCGTCGGAGACTTGAGTTATAGGACCGCTGGCTCTAAGTTCAGTCAAACCGGTGTTTTTGAGGTTTGTATGAGAGTTTGTTTAATTAAAGCTGAAATTTTTATATTATAGGAATGTTAATGAAGGTAGTTGAGTTATTATTGTTGATGGTGTGATGATTAGGATGTTGTAAAATTTGGTTTTTATTTACATATTTTTATGATTATTTAAGTTAAGAAAATGTAATTTTAAAATTTTTTGAAAGTTACAATGATTTCACAAGTAAGACAATTAGGAGGGGTGAAAAAGCGCACAAATAAATGAATATTAAAATATAAGAACAGAAAATAAAAGGACTTATTAAAATTTCATTGATATACAAATATTTAAAGAGTTAATTATTCCGTACAGGTGACTAAGGCTCCCGAGGAACAGATTGCAGCCGCTATGAACGCCCCGGGGGCTGCGCCCTCCGCACTTCGTGTCACCGTGCCGCCTGAACTACAAGGAGTAGCCTTCATATCCGTCCGATGCCAAAAAGGTACGCTTAGTTTCAATTTGACAACCTTAATACAAGTTTTCATCGACAGAACACATAGTATTCAGTTTTCAAGTTAACTATGATGAAAACTGGGAATACTTTGTATTTAGTTTAACATGATTTTGATAAAGAACACACAAAGTTTATTTAGAGTCTATCAATAATACTTTCAAACAACAACAAGTTTATATTCTATTATAGTCTTGATGGTTTTTAAAAAAGAATTCATCTGCATTTCTCAGCCAATTTCATTTTTATACGGACGTTTTGTTCGCAATAAATTTAAATGATAATATGACAGAAAATAGTCCGTTATAATAAAATTATTAAATCTCAACCTAATATCATCGGGAATAGTGCAAATCCGCGTAACTGCCATTGGATAATTCCGCGTATCTACATTAAAAGCGGATCATTAACGACTTTTAAGGTATTTTTTAACAATTAGCAATAAATTAAACACTAAATAATTACTAATTGTGAAAAAAATACCTTAAAACTCTTTAATGTACAAAATATTTCAGCTTAAACTTTCTTCTGATCATCTTCCAATGTAGATACTCGGAATTATCCAATGGTAGTTAAGCGGATTTGCATTATCCCCTACCATATACTTTCCCCATCTAACAATACGGACTTAGTCACATACAAACAATCTTCTTCAGAGCAAGAGGACGTGGTAACAGCTACCCTCAATTCATCTGCGCTGAACTGTCCCGGCTCGCTGCCCGGGGACGGCGCCGAGCTGCATTGGCAGCAGAAGCTTGAAGCAGCTCAAAACGTGCTGTACTGTAAGGAGCTGTTCGCCAGACTAGCAGCAGAAGCGGTACAGCTTGACGCGAGCATACCACATATAGTGGTTGGCAATAGGATCATGTTGACCGTTAGTATTATAAATGATATTGTATATAACCTAAAAAGAGCTTTAAGATCTGCAACTTAAGAGACAAAAAAAATTATTATAACAGCATTTTCATAAGAAAAATGGGCGTTATGTAGAGACCTGGGGGGTGATTTCTAATTTCTGTTAGTTAAGTTATAGTGATGAGATCTAAAACTTTCGTGAATATTCATTTAAATGAAAGTAATATTTTGGAATTACTACGCGTATTTTATTATTTTGAAAACTACTTACTCCCGACGGTTCGATTACTTTGCAGCAACTGAACCGAACCAAAACGTCGGGAGTAAGTATTTTTTTCTAACCAATTTTTTTACGCGTAGTAATCTGAATATATTAATCTCATTTAAGTCATAGTGGTTTTTCAACACACCAAAAAGGGAGACTAAATAATTCATTCTCAAAGCGGGCAGGAGACGAAATAAGTTTGGGAACCACTGCCTTAAAATAATCCAAAGCTTACAATCGAATTGAAATATATAGTATAGAAACAATAGTCATTGACACCATTTAGATTTTACCAAACTTTTACTCGGATTTTACTAAATATTACTTAAAACTTAATTTGAAAAGTACCTAGAACGTGTTTTTCCGAAAATTGCAGCTTCAATACCTGTTTGCTTCCAAGAATTTCTCGTTTAATTTTTTCTATTTGATGTTTTATTATAATAATGATTAATGAAAATCAAACTAAATGTAGATTTCAAATGAATCCTCATAACATTTTTTTCTTTCATTGTCCATGACTGCAAATAACCCAGGTTGTGTGATATAATGTATGTTTTGTTTATGAATACAATGTATGATTTATTTTGATCCAGATCCTGCCCAGCATACAATTGATGATCGGTCTGTGTCACAACAACGGCCAAAATAATAACAACACGGAAGGCACCAAGGTATCATATATTAATTAAATACACTATTTCAATACTTCATGTGTTCAAGTTCTCATGTGGCATTAAAAATAGTGAAAGGCCATAGAATGCCATCATAAGTTTCAGCTTACAAGTGTTAAAATACCACAAGTATTTAAACATTTTACATGATGCAGTGTACTGTGTGTTATACTGCATTATACTGCTACCGCATTAAACTGCATTGTTATGATGACGTTAACAAATTGTTATTTGATATTGTTGCCTTCCTAGAAGAAAGTTATCATATGGTCATATCTCAGAAGGAAGAGACAAAAGCAAGCTAACAATTAATTTGTATACAAGCTCCTTTTAATAAACTAGCTGCGCCCCGCTGTGTTACCCGCGGATTTCCGGGTTATAAAGTAGCCTATGCGTTATTCCTGGATGTCAACTTCCTTTATACAAAATTTTATCAAAATCCGTTCAGCCGTTTGATCGTGAAGAAGTAACAAACATACACACACACAAACTTTCGCAATTATACTATTAGTAGGATAATCGTCATCAGCCTATCAGCGCCCACTGCTGAGCAAGGCCTCTTTTTCACATGGAGAAGGTTTGAGAATTAATCACCACGCTTGCTCAAAACGGGATGGTGATTTCAAATTTATAATTGTGAAACTATAAGTCCAGGTTTCCTCACGACGTTTTCGTTCACCGTATGTCAGTGGTGTCTAAATACTCTCAGAAAAATCACATTGGTACTTGCCAGGTTTGAACCTGCGTCATCGGCAACGAGAGGCGAGCCCTTTAACCACTAGGCCACCACTGACTCTCACACACACACTCACAAACTTTCGCAATTGTAATATTAGTAGGATTAGTATACAAGTGTAATGTCTTCGGTCTGTCAGTCCCAGGGGTCGTACGTGAAGGCGGAGCACGACCACGTGTTGGAGCACTCTCTACATCAGCTGTTGAGGGCGGTCCATCACTCCAATACGCACCATCCCTTCCCACACCCGGCCACCGGGCCTCTGGGACCATCTAAGAGGAGGTCATTGGCCGGTATGACGTCACACGCACACAGACACACAGAGACAGACACAAACAGACACAAACACAAATACACACACGCACACAGACACACACACGTTAATTAATTCCATTGCATCCAAAATTGATAAAACTTTATATATATACTAGAAGACCCGGCGCACTTCGTATAGCCCTATAATCAAGAAATATCGGGTACGTTTTTTATTTATATTTTTGGAGTTCACCTATTAAAGCCATAAATCTCCGTGTTTTGAAGTGCGACAGAATGATATAAAGATTTTATATTGAAACAAATTATAATATATGTAATTCTAAAACCATACTCAAAGCTGTTTGGCTTTAGGTATTTGTGATATTAGAGAATGTCTAAAGAAAGTGTTGTTAATACTTTAGGTTCTGTTTAATTTATCGGGTCATAATAGCTCCTTTTATAATATTAAATTGAAACTAGTGAAGACAGGTCACATGACTATTTTAAGGGCAGGGTGAACTTAAAAAACTTATTCAATTATATATTTTCTAAATTGGATTAAATTTTTTACGATAAGCCTAACTTGGTAACACCGAAAGCCATGCCTTGGAAATTGACGATCTTTGTGATTATTGTAAAATATTTGAATTTTTATACAAACGTCCCTATTATCTGCCGAGAAATTTCTCGCGATATTCTCTTAATAGAAAGGTTTGTTTGAAAAGATTGTGAACTATTGGTTACTAAGATGAATATAAAATCAAATTATTTGGATACGTCGTTGGTTCTTAGGAAGGATACGTTTAATATTAGGTTGCAGTGGAACTACTGTTCCAGTAAATGGAATATGCACTCAATATATAATGCATACACTCAATAATAGAAAGTAAAATAACCTTCACTTCACTCAACTTGCATCTAAAGATATTTTTTTTTTTCAATAAAAAAAAAGCGAAGTTTTATCTTCTAGTTAACATAACTTTTTCACAATTGATCACGCTCATGCGTTCGAGTGGCACTCATTCACTCTCGCTCTATCTCTTGTTATTCTTTCTTGATATTATCTCTTAGTTCCTCATATTTATTTATTTATTTAATTATATAAAACTGTTAAATAAAACGTTTCGAATGATATTGTTCCAATCAATCAAAATACACTCCTAACACATTTTCTATCTTTTGATCAAACTATTTGCAAGCCAGAGAAATTATTACCACAGAAATGAAAATAAAACCTTAATTCAGCAGTAAAAATACAAACAAGCAAACATTTCCTATAATGTTGTCGCTAGTTCAAGATATAGACACAAGTTAGCGTGATTGCTAGTACCATTTGACTTTAATATAAAAACTTAAGTTAAAATAAGACATAGTTTATAAATTTTAGAATTATTTTAGATACTTTAAGACTTATGTTTATTGTTGGTGGTGGGATTATTATTAAGGGAACGATGGGACTGACATTTAGCTTTGCTGCTAAAAAGTTCCCAAAATAAAATCAGAAAAAATATATATATATATATATATATATATAAACTTATATTGATCATAAAACACATACATACGTACATCTGAGCTGCAATATACAGGGACTAAGAAGAAGGAGAGCAATTTAGTATATTTTACAAAATTGTATATATTTTATCCTCATTAATCCAGGTCCTATGGGCGCGGACCGCTATGAACTGATGGAGATGTCCCGCGAACAGTCACTGTTGGAACAGATCGTACAACAGGCGCAGCACTTCTTTATGAGGAGACGAGGGGAATACGTATTGGATACTATCGCTAAGGAGGTAGATTTCAGTATCGACATACTAATGGACATGCCGTACGCGTATAATCTGCAGTAATTTTTTGGTTTGAAAAGAGTGAGAGAGATGGCCTATGCTTTCGGTCTAGCACTATATCTTTCTCTATTTTGAGAGGGATAAAGATAGACCGAAACTTAGTTTCCTCTCTTTCTTTCGGAGTGCCGCAATTCTCATCTCTAAGGCATGTCCATTAGTGTATATGTCGATGGGTTACAGAATAGCATGTACATCAAAAACTTAGATAAAAAAGTTAAACGTCAGGCTAATGGATTTATGATTGGTTGGTTAAAATACAGCCGTAATCCTTGCAAATGTCGTGTAGAATGGAGGAGACACGATCCGGGATTAACTTTTAAATGATATAAAATTTAAAGTCACAATCAGGAACTTTGTTAGTAGATCTGAAACTAGTCGATTTATAAACTGACAAAATAATGTTTCTAATTTTTCCGTTCATTACAACGAAATGATGTCATATAGTCCATAGTATAAAATAATTGACGGACATTAAATATATATGTAAATAAAATAATAAATTTCAGGCTGGATCGTTACTGATTTTAAATTAATATTTTTTTGTCTATTGATACGCAAATAATGTTTTTTTAATAGTGAATTTCTATTCTAAGTCAAATTTATAACTGTTAGCCAGTTTTTTCATTTTATGCCAATAAACATATTTAGTCCACCGTCTTTGAAGCTTAGACTATTTATGAATTTATGATATTTTGAATTATAGATGTATAATTATTAAGTCTTACGACGATCACATTTCAAGTGTTTTTATAGACACTGGTATTTTGTCTCTTACTTGAAATAAACAGTTTCAATAACTTTTTCCATTACTATAACTTAATATTTGAACATTTTCAAGTAACCACTATATTTCATGTTTTATTATAAAATAAGACCACAAATTATTGCCAACAAAAATTGAATTTTATTTTATTCTAGGTGAAGGATCCTCTCATTGTGTCACACTGGAACGCCCTAAACAGTCCTACACACTCATGCGTTAAAATTAATATTATGGCTTATGGGTATGTACTTCTATTATAAATCTTAATATTAAAATATTATTATGTTTTATTCTGTTTGTATAAATATATTTTTGTCAGGTATGACGCAGTATGTCGAACATCCCTTGTGGTTCATGTTGGAGAAAAAACATTAAAATGCATCTGTAGGGACGGTAAAGTAAGGAATCTCTCGTACGAACTGCAAGAATTAAGGGATCTCATTTTCTGTCAGGTAAATAACATTGAATAATTTTATTGACAAAAAATATTTTAACTCAAATATGTACCTATCAATCTAAAGTTAAGAGTACTCAGAGAAACTCAACTCCAAAAACCATAATATTATAACCTCAAGTATAAAATTTATAAATAACGTGCGCCGTTTGTTTCTCATGTTTTTATACATCTTATATTATCAATGTGATGTTTTTTCTGTATGTTGGTGTTCAACGAAGAATGTAATAATATTAAGTTTTAAAACACTGATAGTACGTAACACCCCCTTTACACGATAGTTAAACATTTTAAAATTTAATACAAAAAAATACAAATCATTTTTATCAATCACTTTCATTGTAAGAACTTTATGCATAACATGCTCTTATTTTTTACGGAAATATACATGTATTCTCTTTTGGGTAGAGTTTTGTTTACGTTCTTATAAAATACCTTCATAACACCTAACACTATTTTTAATCGTTTGACACACAGTCAAGACACGGTCATCATTATTGTCTATACTGTACAATATGTCCAAACTGGAATAAATTTTTGAAATTCGCGTTAGGTTAGGTTAGTGTATAGAAACTAAAGTGTATGTAAACGAAAGCCAGTAATGTTTCCAGATCTATCAGCATCAGATGACAGGCGTGCAGGCGGTCGGTCGTTGTATGGGCTGGCAGCTGCTGGCCAGCTCCTCACACTTGGGAGCCGGACCTGTTGAACCACTCGCTAATGCATCGTCATGCTTACTAGCATCTCCCAATGGTATGTATATTAATCGCTTAACATAATATGTATTATATTTAAATATATTATACTTGTTTTAAAAGTTCAATACTATGATTGTATTTGATTTATTTAGCAATGCAAATCTTAATGGCAGTTCTAACTGTACATGATTTTTTTTCTTGATATATCCAAATATCTTCTATTTCAATATTTGTGTAAATGTGTACTACATAATAGAACAAAAATATATTAGTGGTATTTAATCCTTGTTCTGATTCAATAAGGACATTATCTTAAAAATCATTATCTATAATAATAATAGATTTTTGTTAGTATATTTGGAATGACTATCTTTCAATGCCAGTATCATTTAGAATTAGACTCAAATGTACATTTAAGTATTAAATGTTATAAAATTTAAGCCATTTGTGAAATATTGTTAATTTCCAAATATCGGTACTAAATTGATTCTATCAATGAATTGGTCTTCACACAATATAGTAACATTTTATTTCTCACACCATTCTAAAACCATTTATCATGGCAGACTAATGAAATTCTTCTTTGTGTTATTACACAAAAATGAGGCCATGACTCAAATTAGACTTCCCTATTCATTTCAACAGCACTTTTTAGAACAATAGAATTCATTATGACGGTATTTTATCAAATACCAGTGAACATTTGTTGACTTATCCAAATATCTTTAATTAAAAGTATGTTATCATAGTTTTAGTACCTAAATAAACAATGATATAATTGTTTTGTGTAAATATAAATAATATTATTTTAATTGAAATATTTAATGTCTTATATTTCTTGCAGGTGATAGAATGATCGCTATTAGGTGTGAACCATCGGTCGGAATCCAAGTGTTTATAGCACAATCGCCAAAAAAAGACTTCTTTGTTAGTGAATTAGTTCAAGACAAGAAATGGGAAAACCTCGGCGGTGCCTTCAAGGAAGTTAAATTAGAGAAGATGGAAGGCAAAAACTTCCTAAACAAAATGGAATTACTAATGGCCTGCTTGAGCAGCCCTTCATAGAATATATGTAATAATAATTATTGAGTAATTAAAACAAAAACATTTCGACGTAGTTGTTTTTTTTATTTATACATAAGGAAACTTAGCCCATAACATGCCTTAGGTTAAATGTTAAAGATACTGAAGATTGTTCGACGATTAAGCTTGATGTAGACTCGGCATAGAAATTATTCAGAGGAACTGAAACAGATACAAACAGGTCAATAATATATTCTACATTATAATGACAAAAGAAATACTTGTGTATAAGGATGAAGAATCAAACATTTCTTTAGTTGAATATTACCAAAAAATAATAATAATTTTAGCATGTGATGATATTTCAACTACTAATTTATTATAAGGACTTTAAAAGTTAGTTCAAATTACTATGACATCAGTCTTAGACTTTAAAAAGGAGCAATATATATTTCACTGTCAATACTATATCAAATACTTAGCTTGATCGAACCTTGTGAGTTATTAGAACAAAAAAATCATATTTATTAAGAAAATCAATATTTGAGTGAAGTAAATTAAACCATGAACTGCCAGTTGTAATTTTAGTACCAAAAGTTTTAGTTTTATTTATTAGTAATAACAAAGTTTATTTTTTAAGAAACTTGTCACTCTCAAAATTGTAAGAATTGTTACTGAATGTTAACCAACTCAAAGTTCATCGGGCTCATCTATCATTTTTATTGTAAGCTTCAACATTTAAAAACAAGTATGTGGATCACAAGATTCAATTCAACCAGCAAACATAAAAGTAATGACTCACCTCTAATTCCTAAGACATCAACTTCACGAGGAATCATACTATCAATAAACCCCCAGTATTAAGTAGACATTGAATTTTTAACACTTGGAAGGCTTCAGATTACAATAACACTAAACCTAACTATTAACTAAAATTAAATTAAAATCGAGAGAGTGGTGACCTAGATCTGAAGTTGCCGCCGCCGCCGCCGTTTCCTGAGCCGTAGCCGCTACCCTGGTTGTTGCGTTTGAAAGGTATCCGGCCTTCGCCCCCGAAGCCCCCGGACCTAAACCCGCCCGAGCCGCCGAACGGGCGCCCTCGGAAGTTACCGCCTCGGCCGCCCCTGAAGTTACCACCGCCGCGACGCGGACCATCACGTTTTCTCGACAATTCTACTTTTAATGTCGCGCCTAACATCTCGAAGCCGTTCATTGCACTACAGGCATCCTCCGCCTCTTGCATGTTCTCAAATTCAATGAAAGCAAAACCTGGGGGGTTAAGTGCGACCCACACGGAATTTAATTTGCCATATTTATCGAATTCTCTTTCCAAATCCTCCTTTTTGATACCCTCCACGAGTCCGCCGACGTACACGCGTGTTCCTCCGGAGCTCATGGTGATATTTGCTACAATTAAATAAAAAACTTAACCACGAACCAAATTTGTCGGCGGCGAAATAGATAAATACAATGAACTAAACAAGATGTCGTCACATCAATAATGATGCCACGACATCCGACATCATTAATTTTTGAATTCTGGCTAATAAATGACTGTACTTACTTGTTTTATGAAGTAGTTACACGTTAATCTAAACTAAAACTATATGTTAATTTTTATTTTATGATATTAATATAAAATCTATTTTTATTTTAGTCAAATATGAAAAACGGATCAATGAAGTTGATGACTGAATGGTAAAGAAAGAACGAACAAAACTGAACTGATATCAATTCTAAATTGTTGCCAGAATAAAACATTCTTAGTAAAATATTTAATCATACTTTTTAGTTTTTTACCAATTTAATTAAAAAATAAAAAATAAGATTTAGTTTCAAATAAAACCTTGTATATTAATATTTATAACATATTCTAAATGAGTGAGTGAATGATTATCAGTGAGTGGAAGAGATTTGAGAAAGGTTGGCGAGTGAGTGAACATTAAGAGTTCAGTATAAAGTATAAGTGGAGGGGAGGAAGTTCTACGTTAGTGTACATGTGAGGAAAGAGGAAGGGCTGAGAGGAGGGAAGTCCAACTTCACCGTTCACGTACAAAACCGGCCAAACTACTTTATTCAACGGTCGCGCCGCGGCGCGTGTTTTAGCTTGCTTCCCTCCCAAGATTCCGACTGCCTTTGTTTTGTTGATATTGTTTTCAACATAAAAAAGAAAATTCCATTTAATTTTATTGACACTATAATTATTTTAAAACGTATTTTCACATAACTTTCATAGCACATATATTGTAGGAGGTATGGTTCCCAAGCGTTGTATACCTGTTCGCTATGTGACTAGGTGTGTTGATGGATTGTTTTGAAAACTATTATTAGTGAAATGGATTATTGTTTAAAAAATTAACATGTACAAAAAGATGGGGGTGCAAAAACGACATAGTCAATTCAGTGATACAAAATATAAGTGGCGGACGGTGTTTTTAGTGCTGTGTTTCGTAAACTGTGATGGTCAGGAGATAAGAAAGGATGAGATGGATCCGTATATGTTGAATAAGTCATCAGGTCTCACAGAACTATCAGGTGGGGTTGTGACCAGTGGGAGAATCGTTTGGAGGGCTGACAGCAGCCCGTATTTACTCAGAGATGACTTGCTTATTGAGAGAGAGGCCGAGCTGGTTATAGAACCAAGTGTAGAAGTGAAATTCGCTCCCATGATCGGAATCACGGTTCGTGGAAAACTGACGGCTGTTGTGAGTAAATTTGCAATACCTTATTTCAAAGATATTTTTAATATAATAGTAACAAGGATACGAAATATTTATGCAAATGAGATTCCAATAAGAAGTATTTTTTGTATACATTTATGATTGTAATTTGAAAAAAAGACATTTCACGCATTTAGAAACCTATAATAAAAAAAGTACTTTCGTAAAGTAAGTCGCATTGTCCCTTTGATAACAAATGATAAACGCTTTTGATAAGGGCACGTACTTGCCCTGATAATGATATCAAAATCGAACAGTATTGATTTAGTCACCTGTTGCTTTAATGTAAATATATGAAGCGAGCAAATAATGTTATTCTCTAAAAGGTAGCAAATATTTGCGAAATGACTATCGCAAAATATTTTTGAATAAAATTTAAATACGTGGAGGTCTTTTTAGATAGATACCAAGGCAAACAGGAGGCTCAGTCACCTTTAATAATTAATGTCTTTCAACCTACGTATGTTAAATGAATCATATTCGGCTCTTATACCTAATATAGGAACAGATGTCCGGACACATCGGCTGTACAGCTTGACCTTTGCTATAGCGGCTCATTAAATTAGATTAAAAATCTCGTTGACATCGCATCCTTAGAAGATTTAATTGTTAATGACTAAGGTTAAAAAAATTACAATAGTAAAGATAACTGCAGTTAAAAGTAACATTTTTTTAATTTAAAGTATGTATGTTATGATTTACATATTGTTTAATTTATTTTACGTTTTAAAATTTTTCGCGCGTCTCCGCCATTATGTTTTTCGGTTATCCTTACACTTTTTATATTTTTGTCTGTATAATTTGAACAATGAAAATATGAATTAAAAACTATTTCATATATGCTAAATTTCATTATAGTTTACTAAGTTTCTATTATTGGATATATTAAATATTAAATACATTCCCACGAATTTCCATTTTAAAATATATATATATATATATTATATATAAGTTGCATACATTTGGAGTGAAGATAATCACAATCTCTTTCAGATACTTTAATTCATAGCTCTATGAACTAAATCGAGTGTAAAATCGGTGTAAATAGTAATGATATAATAATTATATTTTCAACGAATAATGTCGATCGTAAAAGCGAAAGTAGGTACTTGATTTTGACTCCCACGCTACATACATGATACATACATAATATAGTTCACATAATAGAAAATAATAACCTATTATTTGTAAACCTTCTTGCATGAACGAAGTGAATACTAAAAAATACGTCAACGAATTCATTTCCAATGCATAAAAAATGGTTTCCACCCCAAAAGAATGCTTTCACTATTAGTGGGGTGAGTTTTAAAGAACCTGTTTGTTAGCAACTGTGTTTACAAAAAAAACATCACGTAGTGTGTGCGTTGAACTATAACAGGTTGATTTAAGGTAATAATAATACTTTTACTTTTAAAGATATTTTTTTATGTACCAGTACTATTTGACGTAAAAAAATACTAAAATAATATTTATGTCAGAAGGATGTTATAGATATTTTTGTTAATGTAACGGTTTTTATCGCATCAAACTCTAATGTTTATTGTTTAATTAGGAACGCCGCTATCAAAATCGTGTCAAGATCTGTAAACAATGATAACTTCGACGTGGAAACTGTTTCGGTTTGAATTTTAACGGTTTTCTGTTATCGAAATATATTTAAACTTCAAACACCAAAGTTTTGAGCTCATAGGAAGACAAAGAAGTTACATAAAGTAATAATTCGTTACTTTTTTAAAGCTACGTAGCTGTATTTTGAAACAATACGGCGTACTTCCTTAGAATTCCTATTAATAATAATCTGTCCCAAATGCTAAGTCAAGCATACACTTGACGCTTGGCTTTACGAGTTGCCAGCCTTTGTAGCGTCCTTATAATATTGACCGGTTATTGCATAATAAAAAAATATTACAGAGAAATATAGAGTGGCATGTAACTTTTAAAATGTTGAGATAATTTACTATTAAATATTAATATATGTATTCATAGAAATGTTATTCTGTTTTTAATGAAGGTAAGTATAAGCCGTTTTATTTTTAATTATAAAGCATAATTTGATGGCTGTCGCCTTGATACATATATACACATATTTATGTAAAGAAAAAAAAACAATTCTTTATACATTAATTATGATTTTTATTATATAAAATTTAAATCTTTGACATTTTAAACTCTTTATAAAAAAAAAGGTGACTTGTGAGTTTAACTTTACTACATTAGTGTATTTTAACCGATGGTTCTAAGAAAGCCGTCCTTGGTAGTGTGTTTCGAGCTGTTAGTTAGTTTGTTGTTAATCATTACAGAATCGAGTCAAATGATATCGGTCAATCGATACTTCTATAAATAGTTGGCGTGCCAGTTAACCGTTAAGCGTGATTCCTTGCTGCGGTTGGTAAACGAATCGCGACCTACTAAAATCTCCCCGGTTTGCTCTTAAAAGTTAAAGTATGCTTACTTGACTTAAATTTAAATGTGGGGTACATTTGGGTTTGATGTGTTTGTATCCCAAGTATACATTTTTATTATAATGAATAAAAATTTTTTAATATTATAAAGCTTGCGTCAATGTTAAGTGTAGGTAATACAGATTGTAGGTACCAAAGTACGGTATTTTTGTGAAAGTTTTTAATGATTGACAAGGATTTGTATGAAACTGTACAAAAGTATGTATCACAATCGCTACTTTACTAATATTGTAAATGCGAAAGTAACTTTGTCTGTCTGTTGCGTTTTCAAAACCAAATAACAAACCGATTTTGATTAATTTAAGTGTAAAGATAAATGGGCTCTAGAGAAGGACATGATCCTGAAACTACACATGAGCAATAATGAAGTGCAGTTTGGGTTCAGTGGCCGTAGTGGCAAAGAACAAATTTGATGTTCACGCGGACGGAGTTATAGGCAAAAGCTATTTACATTTAAACTATGTTTTGTTTTAAAATTCAACATATGTCCTTCGAAAATATTTCTAACAGTTTTATAACGCAGGTGCTATAAACGACAGATGGCGCTAGCCGCTGATTACCATAATATATTTTTTTACTTATTATTTCTATCATCTTCATTCTTCGATACAGATAAAGTCGCGAGCTAAACCTAGTCTTCTATAAAAGATACAAATGATGTTAATTTTAAACACATGTAGTATAGGTATGTTTGTGTAGTGTGTCACGCTTCATATGACTCAGTGTGATTCACTGAGAGTGAAACTGTTGTAATGTGAAAACGTTATCAGAACAGGTGGAGAAGTGGGGGGAGGGGAGGGGGGGGTAAATATGAAGAGCAAAAGAAAAAAGATATACCGTTCTTAAATTATATAGATATATACTAGAAGACCCGGCGAACTTCGTATCGCCCTATAATCAAGAAATATCTATTACGTTTTTTTATTTGTATTTTTGGAGTTTACCTATTATAGCCATAAATCTCCGTGTTGTGAATGATTGACATTAGTTAGTTGTCAGATCTAATGTCAAAAAAAACCGTTTGTATCAACAACTACTAATAAATTAAAAATTAATCAAAAAAACATTGTCCAGCGGACAAAATTGTGAATCTAAACCATTCCCAGATTCCATTGAACACACAAAAGATTTCATAAAAATCGGTCCAGTCGTTTGAGGGAAGTTCAGTGACATACACACTCACAGAAGAATTATATATATAAAGATAGTAAAGATAAAGACTGAATTGAATCATAAAAGATAATGTGTTTTATGAATTGAAATGCGAGTAATGTTTATGATTTAAAGACATAAGATACCTGTATTCATTCACTTCCTGAACTAATTAGTTAATTTAATCGTATTATTCTTGGTAATTTGTGCAAGCGGTTTTACGTGTAGCGTTACAAGGTCACATATGTTTTGCATATACAAATTTACTAATACGAAGCCGACATAGTTGTAGTTGGATTGAGTTTCAGTAATTTAGGTTAAAGCCTATATTTATTACTACATTAGGTGTTTTATATATTTACTGTATCAGATTTTACTGCAACATACTAAGATATAACTAGTTCTAATAGTTACTGAAAATAAGACCTTAGTAAGAATCAAAAAATGTTTGAGTGTTTCCCAAATGATTATAGGATATTTTTCTGTTAGGGACTTGGTTTACTTGACGAGAAGAATAAATGAAAAATGACTGAAGTCTTAATAAAATATTATACAGTTATATTAAATATGTGTATTATTATTAACATTTGACTCTAATTCAATTTTTTTAAAACTAATACTTAAGTTTTTTTAACTAATGTATAATATTCGTTTAGATTTTTGTTTTTTCTGAAAAAAATCGATCAAACAGACGTTACCGTCTCTAAGTATCGCACGATTTAGAAAACTGTTGAGCTCAAGAATTCGCGATCTCGCTCAGAGGTCAATGAACCCATTGTTGGACTGTCACGATTTGAAATGCAGAAGAGCAATGGAAATGCTCTAATGTTAATAAATATTATATTAACGTTACCTTTGGTAAGAGTTATCATATATTTTAGCTTTAAAAGATTTTTATCTACGTAAATATAGTGTTATTAAAGTTTTTCAAGATAAATCATTATACATTCTTATCTAAAAATAGTGTAATGACTTTATTTAATATCTTTATATTTAACTTTTAAGAAATAGCAACTATTCCAAGCACTTTATACTCACTAATGTGTATTTTCTTTGCTACTATGTCAAATAACGCATGTAAAGTCGCGGTAATCAGCTTGTATAAAGAACATGTACACTTGTATAGAGAACGCTATAAAGACAAATCCATATCCAATTTGATTTTTATATATTTTTTAATAAATTACATTCAAAACAATAAATTATTATGACCTCATTCTCGAGATTATTACAACAGGTTGAAGGTAAGTTACAACGGGCGTGTTAAATTTTGTTGCGGGTAAATTATCACATTACTTAAATTTCATTATAAAAATCTTTCTCTTTTCAACTTGATTTATAGTGGAGTAAATTTAACAGTTGCAAAATATT